AAATGAAGGCGTAAGTCACAAACAATGCCACACCAATTCGGGGTTATGATTATTAGGGTGGTATTTATTTAAAGGGGAAAAAACTTACAGATCACTGTCCCAGGCAACAGCCCTCTTCGCAACCAGGAAAGGAGTCTAGTCGCAGGCGGAGCAGGAAGTGAAGAGAGAGAGAAGAGGGAAGTGGCCGCTTTTTTAAAGGGAGAGAAACCACGCCCCAGTGGGCTGGTACCTCAGCGGTGATAGGCTGGAGGAGTGGGAGGACCTCCCGCAACAATAACCCAGACCCCAAAAGATGAATATGGTATGTACTCACTCATAAGTGGATTCCAGCCATAAACAAAGGACATTGAGCCTATAATTTGTGATCCTAGAGAAGCTAAATAAGAAGGTGAACCCAAAGAAAAACATATATTTATTCTCTTGGATATTGGAAGTTGACAAGATCACTGGACAAAAGTTGGGATCACGGGAGTGGGGTGGTTTGGGGATAAGGGGAGATGTGAAGAGAGAAGGGAGAAGGTGAGGATTGGGGAGAGCTTGGGGGAATGGGATGGTTGAGATGAAGGAAGGGTGGATATGGAAGCTGGAAAGAAGATATCTTAATTAAGGGAGGCATTTTGGGATTGGAAAGAGGCTTGACTCTAGAGGGGTTCCCAGGTGTCCATGGGGATGACCCCAGCTAGGACCCTGGCCAGTGGAGGAGAAGGTGCCTGAACTGGTTTTGTCCCATAGTCATACTGATGACTATCTTGAATATCATCATAGAACCTTCATCCAGCGACAGATGAGATAGAGACAGAGACCCACATCAGAGAACTGGGGCTCACAAGGTCCAGTTGAAGAACAGAAGGAGGGAGAATATGAGCAGGGAAGTCAGGACCACAAGGGGTTGGTCCATTCACTAAGACAGTGAGCTTGAGCTAATGGGAGCTCACCAAATCAGTTGGACTGGGACTGAATGAGCATGGGATCAAACTGGATCCTCTGAATGTGGCTGACGACTGGGGAAGACTAAGGGGTCAATGATAATGGCACAGAGATTTGTCTCTACTGCCTGTACTGGCTTTTTGGGATACTATTCTCTTTGGATGCATACCTTTCTAAGCCTGGATGTAGGGGGGAGGACCTTGGACTTCCCACAGGGCAAGGTACCTTGCCTTCTTTTAGGACTGGAGAGGGAGGGGAGGAGGTAGGGGGTGTCGGGGAGAGGGAGGGAAATGAAAGTAGGGGAGGAAGTAGAAATTTTGAATGGTATTATTTTAAAGCAATAAAATATTATTAGAAATCAGATATTAAAATTCTAGATAACCCAGTTAAAAATGGTATACTGAACTAAACAGAGAATTCTCAATACAAGAATTTCAAATGGTCACAAGATACTTAAGGACATGTATCTACTTCTTTAGCTATAAGGGAAATGCAAAGAAAAACAACTCTGTGATACCATCTTACACCTGTCAGAATCGCTAAGATCAAAAACACCAATGATAGCTTATGTCGGAGAGTGTGTGGAGTAAGGGGAACACTCATCCATTGCTGGTGGGAATGCAAACTTATGCAACCACTTTGGAAATCAGTGTGGCGGTTTCTCAGAAAATTGGGAGTCAACCTACCTCAGGATCCAGCAATACCACTCTTAGGAATAGACCCAAGGGATGCCCAATCATATTACAAAAGCATTTGTTCAACTATGTTCATAGCAGCATTATTTGTCATAGCCAGAACCTGGGAATAATCTAGATGCCTCTTAATGGAAGAATGGATAAAGAAAGTGTGGCACATTTACACATTAAAGTACTACTCTGCAGTAAAAACAATGACATTTTAAATTTTCCATGCAAATGGATGTAATTAGAAAACACTATCCTGAATGAGGTAACCCAGACCCAAAAGTGTGAATATGGTTTGTACTCACTCATAAGTGGATACTAGCTATAAACAAAGAACATTGAACCCACAGTTAATGATCCTAGAGAAGCTAAGTATTAAGGTGAACCCAAAGAAAAATAAATATAGTTCCACCTGGAAATTGGAAATGGACAGAATTTACTGGTAGGGTTGGGAGCATGGGGGTGGGGAAGACAGGAGGGTAGGAGGAGAAGAGAATGGTAGAGTGAAAGGGTAGAGGAGTACTTGAGGGAATGGGATGGTAGAGATGGCGGAAGGACAGAGATGAGAGCAAGGAGGGAGATATGTTGATTGAGGAAGCCATTTTAGAATGGCAGAATCTTGGCTCTAAAGAAATTCCCAGGAATCCAAAAGGATGACCTCACCTAGGACCCTGGGCCATAGAGGAGAGCGGGCTGAGCTTGACTTGTCCTGTAGTCAGACCGATGATTATGTTAAATATCACCATAGAGCCTTCATCCAGCAACTGATGGAGTCAGAGGCAGAGATCCACATCAGAGCACTGTACTGAGCTCTGAAAGTCCAGTTGAAGAGTGGAAGGAATGAGAATATGAGCAATGAGGTCAAGACCATGATGGCTACACCCAATGAAGCAGTCTACCTGAGCTAATGGCACTCACCAACTTTCTAGCTGGACTGGGAAGGAACAAGCATAGGACCAAACTAGTTCCTCTGAATGTGGTTGACAGTTGCATGACTGGGGTACACAGAGGGCTCACTGGCAGTGGCATCAGGATCTATCCCTATGGTATGTACTGGCTTTTGGGGATCCTATTCTCTTTGGATGTATACCTTGCTCAGCCAAGATATAGTAGGGAGGGCCTTGGACCTTCCACAAGGCAATGTGCCTTGCCCTCTCTGAGGATTAGATGGGGGTGGGATGAGAGGTTGTGTAGAGAGAATGGGAGGAGGGGTGAGAGGGGGCACTTGGATTGGTAATGTTTTTCAAATCTAATAAACAAAAAAGTGGAATGGGTACAGGGTGTGGGAATGAGTAGGGAATGTAGGATTTTGCCCTGAATGTTGGGATTGGTATAGGATCTGGGAATTGGTTCAGGTTGTGGAAACAGATACAACACATGGAAATAGGCAGAGGAAGTTGGAATGGGTGCAGGATCTGGGTATCGGTCCAGGATGTTGGAATAGGTAAAGGATACAGAAAGGGGTACAGGATGTGGGAATGTGCATGGGATGTGTGAAAGGGTAGAGAATATTGGAATGCCCACAGGATATGGGAATGGATGCATGAGGAGGAAATGGGTAGGTTATGTTGGAGTAGTTACAGGATATTAGAATGGGTACTGGATTTTGGCGTGGGGACAGGACATGGGAATGGGTACATGAAGTTGGAATGGATACAAGATGTTGGAATGGATACAAGATATAGAAATGTGTACAGGATGGAAAATGATAAGGATGTGGGACTAGGTTTAGGATGTGGGAATGGGTACATGATGTGGAAATGGGTACAAGATGTGGGAATGGGCTGAGGAGATCTGGAGTGGAGAGTGAGTGGCTGCATGGCCGGATGGGTTCTGCAAATGGAGTCCAGGCTCCCTCCAATTCCCTAAACTTCTCTGGCCATCCAGTGGGGCATGTTCCTGGGTACTGGCTTTCTTTACCCCATCCCATCTTGCCCCCAAGTACTCCTTTTAATGTGTGGGGGTCCTTGGATTCTCCAACTCAGCCTGCTTCAGGGCTGAGAGGTCCAGGGAGCCAGTGGTGAGTGGTCCTGCTGCTGGGGCTTATTTGTACCATCCCACCCTGCCCACCAAGCTGGCCTTTTTGTCTTCGAGGTCCTTGGAGCCCAGCAAGAGGCCCTGGGAGATGTCCCCAGCTAGTACCTTGGGCAGTTGAGGAGAGGGAACCTGAAATGGCCCTATCCTATAGCCATACTGATGAATATCTTGCATATCACCATAGAACCTTCATCTGGCAATGAATGGAGATAGAGACAGAGACCCACATTGAAGCACCGGACTGAGCTCCCAAGGTTCAATGAGGAGCACAAGGAGGGAGAACATGAGCAAGGAAGTCAGGACCGCAAGAGGTGCACCCACCTACTGTGACAGTGGGGCTGATCTATTGGGAGCTCACCAAGACCAGCTGGACTGGGACTTAATAAGCATGGGATAAAACCGGACTCTCTGAACATGGCGGACAATGAGGGCTGATGAGAAACCAAGGACAATGGCACTGGGTTTTGATCCTACTGCATCAACTGGCTCTGTGGGAGCCTAGCCTGTTTGGATGCTCACCTTCCTGGACCTGGATGGAGTGGGGAGGACCTTGGACTTCCCACAGGGCAGGGAACCCTGTCTGCTCTTCAGATTGGAGAGTGAGGGGGAGAGGAGTGAGGAGAGGGGGAGAGAAGTGGGAGGAGGGGGAGGGAAATGGGAGGCGGGGAGGAGGCAGAAATTTTTTCAGTTAAAAAAAAAGGCACAGGTTAAGAGAATGGATAGGAAAACAGGATACAGCATTCTGCTGTTTACAAGAAACACACCTCGACCACAAAAACAGACATTTACTCAGAGTAAAGGGTTGGGAAAAGGTTTTTCAATCAAACAGACCTAAGAAACAAGCGGTTGTGGCTATCCTAATATCTAAGAAAATTGATTTCAAACTAAAATCAATCAAAAGAGATGGATAAGGATACTTTATACTCATAACAGGAACAATTCACCAGGATGAAGTCTCAATCCTGAATATCTATGCCCCTAATATAAAAGCACCCACATATGTAAAAGAAACATTACTAGAACTCAAGGCATACATCAAACCCCACACCTAATAGTAGGAGATTTCAACACTCCTCTCTCACCAATGCACAGGTCAACCAGACAGAAACTTAACAGAGAAAACAGAGAACTAACATATGTAATGAATCAAATGGACTTAACAGACATCTATAGGACATTCCACTCAAACAGGAAAGAATATACCTTTTAAGCATCTCTTCGAACCTTCTCAAAAAATTGATCACATACTCGGTAACAAAGCAAACATCCACAGATACAAAAAAAAATTCTAGTAAGGGGCACCCGGGGAAGTGGAAGCGCGCTGGCGGGGGGGGGGGGGGGGGGGCACAGATGCTGGGACAGGGACCGCCGCTGCCCCGGCCACCATGATGAGCGATCAGCAGCTGGACTGTGCCTTGGACCTAATGAGGCGCCTGCCTCCACAGCAGATCGAGAAAAACCTCAGTGACCTGATCGACCTGGTCCCCAGTCTGTGTGAAGATCTCCTGTCGTCTGTTGACCAGCCCCTGAAAATCGCCAGAGACAAGGTGATGGGCAAGTACTACCTTTTATGCGACTACAACAGAGACAGAGACTCCTATAGGTCACCGTGGAGTAACAAGTATGATCCTCCTTTGGAAGATGGGGCCATGCTGTCTGCTGGACTGAGAAAGCTGGAGGTGGAGGCCAACAATGCCTTCGACCAATACCGAGACCTGTACTTTGAAGGTGGCGTCTCATCTGTCTACCTCTGGGATCTGGATCACGGCTTTGCTGGAGTGATCCTCATAAAGAAGGCTGGAGATGGGTCAAAGAAGATCAAAGGCTGCTGGGATTCCATCCATGTGGTGGAAGTACAGGAGAAGTCCAGCGGCTGTATCGCCCATTACAAGTTGACCTCCACAGTGATGCTATGGCTGCAAACCAACAGATCCGGCTCAGGCACCATGAACCTGGGAGGCAGCCTGACTAGACAGATGGAGAAAGATGAAACCGTGAGTGACTGTTCTCCACACATAGCCAACATTGGGCGCCTGGTGGAGGACATGGAAAATAAAATCAAAAGTACACTGAATGAGATCTACTTTGGAAAAACAAAGGATATCGTCAATGGGCTGAGGTCTGTGCAGACGTTTGCCGACAAATCAAAGCAAGAAGCTCTCAAGAATGACCTAGTGGAGGCCTTGAAGAGAAAGCAGCAGTGTTAAACCTCTGCTTCATGCTAACCGGACACGCCATGCACTCGTTAGGTTCCTTTCTTAGAAAACTCGTTTTCTGCTCCTTTTCCCTCCTCCTTTCCCTCCCCGATGGGTCACGTAACAGTTTGCATCGACCATGCAGCGCATAGCTCCCCAAGAATAAAGCCCGATAACCACCCTCCTCAGGCTCCAAGGCCCGCTTCCCACGATGTTTCCATAGAGACCGTGTGGTTTTTTTTTTTTGTTCGCCTGGGCCCCGTCTTCCTCCCCTCCCATTTATAAGCATATATACTGTCAGCCACTGCTCCTCCCATCTTTGTTACGTTGGTGTAAAAAATGTAAAACAAAAACATTTTATGAACTAACTGGTGTGTGGAAGAGAAGAACTGGAAATCAGATTCCATGTGTATTTGGGAGTTGCTTGGAGTTGGGGGCCGGGGGGGGGGGGGGGGACACAGCGGACAGCTATGGAAGACAGAGAGACGTCCTCGGCACTGTACTGCGCAGACGTGCCCACCCAAGGAGACCACAGTGGGGTGGCGGCTGGCGACTGGCTGCGCTTCTGGCCAGGTGCTTTCCTGTCGATTTTTATGGAATGCAAAAGGAGTTTTTTTTGTTTTATTTTGGATTTTTTTTGTAAAGCTTAAACAAAAACATCTACAACTTCTACTTGGGCCTCCATACTTAAAAAAAAAAAGGAAAAAAGAACAAAAAAATAAATAAAAAGAAACTGGGACACACACACACACACACACACACAAATTCTAGTAACTACCTGTGTCTTATCAGATCACCATGAAGTAAAGTTAGAATTTAACAACAATTCCACCCCCAGAAAGCCTACAAACACATGGAACCTGAACAGTCAACTAATGAACCACCCCTGTGTCAAGGAAGAAATAAAGAAAGAAATTAAAGTCTTCATTGAATTCAACGAAAATAAAGACACAACATACCCAAACATATGGGACACTATGAAAGTAGTGCTAAGAGGAAAGTTCATAGCACCAAGTGCCCACATAAAGAAAACAGAGAAAGCTCACATTAGAGACTTAACAGTGTTGTTCCCTTGCGAGACCACAACTCCCAGCATCCCTCTGAACTCCAGCGCACGCAAGCGCGAAACACATTTCCCAGAAGCCTTTGCATTCCCCGTTAAAAGCAAGGACCGTCACGAGTTCTCCCCTTCTCTTCCCGCCTTCCCTACCGTGTCTGCACGCCCCTCCCCACCTGTTTGTTGCCCCTCCTCCATTAAAAGTGCACCCACGCGGGACCGGCGTGTCTGTGTCTTTTCCTCGCGTAACCGTCTCTGCCGTCTAACCCGCAGAAATTAAGAACAACAAACAGCACACCTGAAAGTTCTATAAAAAAAAAAGAAGCAGACTCACTCAGGTGGAGTAGAAGACTGGAAATAAACTCAGGGCTGAAATCAACAAAATAGAAACACAGAAAACAATCCAAAGAATCAATGAAACAAAGAGCTGGTTCTTTGAGAAAATCAACAAGATTGACAAATCCCTATCCAAACTAACCAAAATGTGGAGAGAGAACACTCAAATTAACAAGATCAGAAATCAAAAGGAGGACAGCGGACAGCTATGGAGGACAGAGAGACGTCCTCGGCACTGTACTGCGCAGACGTGCCCACCCAAGGAGACCACAGTGGGGTGGCGGCTGGCTTCCTGTCGATTTTTATGGAATGCAAAAGGAGTTTTTTTGTTTTATTTTGGGTTTTTTTTTGTAAAGCTTAAACAAAAAAACTACATCTTTTACTTGAGCCTCCATACTTAAAAAAAAAAGGAAAAAAAGAACAAAAAAATAAATAAAAAGAAACTGGGACACACACACACAAAAATTCTAGTAATTACCTGTGTCTTATCAGATCACCATGAAGTAAAGTTAGAATTTAACAACAATTCCACCCCCAGAAAGCCTACAAACTCATGGAAACTGAACAGTCAACTAATGACACAGAGGAAATTCAGAGAATCATTAGGTCTTACTACAAAAGCCTATATGCCACAATATTGGAAAATGTAAAAGAAACGGACTTGTTTTTAGGTAAATACCATATACCAAAATTGAATCAAGACCAAGTGAACAATTTAAATTGACCTATAAGTCACAAGAAAATAGAAGCTGTCGATACAGAAGGAAATGTGAGGAAAGATCAGGTGTGTGTGTGATGGATGGCAACCCTGCTCATGATATTCATTATTCCACACTTGCCATTAATAACTTGATGTGCAAAAATAGCTGAAATGTTTGCAATATATGTCATGAAAAATAAACTATGTTTATATAGTGAGTATTTTCATAAAACACTTCACACTGTATTAAAAAATAGAGTGACCTCCTTCACAGCATGAGCTTTCACACTCTTGACTAAACAGTGCACTATAATCTCTCCCTCATGGTTCATTTCTTTTTCTGTTGAAAAGAAAAGGTTGAATGTTGTTTATGGTGGGAAATATTTGTGATATCTGTCAAAATTATTCTTGTTAGAGAGTTATTCAAGTAGTAAATATATTTTATGGATAATTCCTTGTTTGAGTGTGTGTTGATGGAATGCTTTTTAATATTCATGGGTAATTTATATTTGTGAATATTTTATTGATTTCTGCTTTGTTTGGAATAATGTAATTACAATAATATAGGACACAGATAATTCACATTAATAAATCCTTATAGTAATTCAGTGACAAATATGTGGTCATCAAAGTTTACTTGACAGAGCAGTAGAATACACAAAATTCTAATTCTGAAAATTAGGTGAAGAGACATTTGATTATTTTTCTTTCAAATATTTTAAAGTATCTGGCAATGGAGTCACATTCACAATCTATACCACTTTATAAAGAATTATTTTGTCTTAGAACAGGAGTGCTCCTTAGTAACATGGCTCTGGTTCTAAAATTATTTATTTTTATTTTTTTCTGAGACAGGTATATGCAATTTGAGTTCTTTTTATTCATTGTAGTTTTAAATATTATTCCTATTAAATCTTTTTAAATATAAAAAAAAAGAAATAGAAGCTATCATCAAAAGCCTCCCAATCAAAAAAAGCCCAGGACCAGATGGGTTTATTGCAGAATTCCACCAGAACTTTCAAGAAGAGTTAACAACAATACTCCTCAAAGTGCTCCACAGAGTAGAAACAGATGGGTCACTGCCAAACTCTTTTTATGAAGCTACAGTTACCCTGATACCAAGACTACACAAAGACTCAACCAAGAAAGAGAATTACAGATCAAACTCGCTCATGAACATGGATGCAATAATTCTCAATAAAATACTGGCAAACCAAATCCAAGAACACGTGACAAAAACCACCCATTATGATCAAGTAGCCTTCATCCCAGAGATGCAGGGCTGGTTCAACATATGAAAATCTATCAATGTAATCCATCATATAAATAAACTGAAAGAAAAAAAAACTATATGATCATTTCATTAGATGCTGAAAAAGCATTTGACAAAATTCACCACCCCTTTATAATAAAGGTCTTGGAGGGATTAGGGATACAAACATCATATCTAAGTATAATAAAAGCAACATACAGCAAGCCAACAGCTAACATCAAATTAAATGGAGAGAAACCCAATGCAAGTCCACTAAAATCAGGAACAAGACAAGGCTGTCCATTCTCTTCATATCCCTTCAACATAATGCTTGAAATTTTAGCAATAGCAATAAAACAACATAAGGAGATCAAGGGGATTCAAATTGTAAAAGAAGAAGTCAAACTTTTGTTATTTGCAGATGATATGATAGTGTACATAAGTGACTCAAAAAAACTCTACCAGAGAATGCCTACAGCTGCTAAATACCTTCAGTGATGTGACAGGATACAAGATCAAGTCAAAAAAATCAGTTGCCCTCCTATATACAAAAGAGAGAGAAGCAGAGAGGGAAGTCAGAGAAACATCACCTTTACAGTAGCCACAAATAACATAAAATATCTTGGAGTAACACTAACCAAGGAAGTGAAAGATCTGTTTGACAAGAACTTTAAGTCTTTGAGGAAAGAAACTGAATTAGACACCATAAAGTGGAAAGATCTCCCATGCTCTTGGATAGGAAGGACCAACATAGCAAAAATGGCAATCCTACCAAAGGCAATCTATAGTTTCAGTGCAATCCCCTTCAAAATCCCAACACAATTCTTCACAGAACTTGAAAGAACAATAATCAACTACATATGGAACACCAAAAAACCCAGGATAACCAAAACAATCCTATACAATAAAGGAACTTCTATAGGTATTATCATCCCTGACATCAAACTCTATTACAGAGCTACAGTAATGAAAACAGCTTGGTATTGGCATAAAAACAGAGACGTTGGCCACTGGAATCGAATTGAAGACCCAGATATTAATCCACACACCTATGAACACCTGATTTTTGACAAAAAAGCTAAAATTATACAATGGAGGGGCTGGAGAAATGGCTCAGAGGTTAAGAGCATTGCGTGCTCTTCCTAAAGGTCCTGAGTTCAATTCCCAGCAACCACATGGTGGTTCACAACCATCTGTAATGAGATCTGGTGCCCTCTTCTGGGCTGCAGGCATATAGACAGAATGTTGTATACATAATAAATAAATATAAAAAAAGCTTAAAAAATTATACAATGAGAGAAAGAAAGCATCTTTAACAAATGGTTCTGGCATTCTCACTTTTCTTTCCCCATCTCCCCTTACCCCCATCCCAGGGGAAACAGGATGATTGGGATAAAGGAAGGTTGGATAGGGGAGCAGGGAAGCACATATCTTAGTTAAGGGAGCCATCTCAGGGTTGGCAAGAGACTTGAACCTAGAGTGACTCCCAGGTGGCCAAGGCGATGTCCCCAGTTAGTTCCTTGGGCAGCTGAGGATAGGGAACCTGAAATGACCCTATCCTATAGCCATACTGATGAATGTCTTGCATATCACCATAGAACCTTCTTCTGGCAATGGATGGAGATAGAGACGGAGACCTACATTGGAGCACCGGACTGAGCTCCCAAGGTCCCAATGAGGAGCAGAAGGAGGGAGAACATGAGCAAGGAAGTCAGG